CGTTGTCGGCGAAGTGGTAAAATACTTCGGCGTTGGTGCTTTCGCGAGGGTTTTCGTCATCCATTGGGACTTCGACGGAGCAATAAGGGAGAGGTCGGCTTCCTCCGATGTTTCATCCACGTTCTGCTCGTCCCAGTCAGCTTCGTCTGCTGCCGAGGCGAAAGCTCGGTCACCACGGAAACCACCTGTGGGGTCCCCATCTTCTTCCAGGTCGGCAAGGTACGCCGGAAGGGTGAGTCGTTCATAGAAAATGACATCACGTGCTGCTAGTGTTTCCTTGGAGTGGACGTCGAAAATCTTCCACGCGTTGTAATTTCTTTCGATGCCCAGGTGTAGTCCCCACTGTGCGCGTTGGGAAAATCGGCCGGCTCGTGCAGATGGGGGTCGGTACTGTACCATGCAGCCAAAAACTCTTAACATTTTTGTGCTGCCCTGTTTTCCTGTCCACAGCAGGTGCGATGATGCGTTGTTCGGGAGCGATGATGACGAGAGCAAGTTGTGCAGCATGACAGCGGGATCCATTGCTTCGGGCCACTGGTGATTGGGCAATCGCATGCTTCATAGCAGCTTGCGCATGGTGTTCTGAAGAATTCTGTTCATCCTTTCTGCTACGCCTTGCTGCTGGTGAGCGTAGGGAAGAGAGATGAGCCTCTTGATCCCTCTTTCTGCCAGGTTCTGCTTGAACCTCTGTGAGATGTATTCTCCTCCTCCGTCTGATTGGAAGCTTTTTAGCTTCACGCCCGATTCTCGTTCTACTACTGGGAGCCAAGCGACGAAGGCCTCGAAAGCCATGTCCTTGCTCGGAAGGTTAAGGTGCCAAACGTAACGTGTGGCGGCATCGATGAACGTGATGGTGTAGCTGTATGCTCCTTGTCCAGGTTCGCGGTTGTACAGGATGTCGCTGTACACTTTCTCAAGTGGTGCGTAAGCTGGTGCGCTGGGGTTGTGGTGAGAAGCGAATGACCGATGTGGTAAGTCCGCTTCGGGGCAGGTAAAGCTCGTTCCGCGAGCTCGTGGAAGTTCGCTTCCGTCGGCTAGGAGAAATGAGTCCTTGTCGAGCACTCCTGCTCTGATTATGTTATTTAACACTGTGTTGCTTGGATGTCCCATTTGTGCGTGCCAGATGTCTTCGCCAGCTCGATGTCCGGGTGAGCGACGGTACAAGTCGGAGTTGGAGTAGAAGCTTGTGGTGAATTTTGCGCTTCGATGTATTTCTCGTGGTGTTGGGTTCAATTGCTGCGCAGGAGTCGGTGGAATGTCGTCGTCAATTGGAGTCAGTGCAGTTGAAGGACCAGCGAATGGTGTCGATGTTGCCGCTGCTGCTGCTGTTGTTTTTGCTGCTGCTGATGTTGTCTCTGCTGCAGCCGGTGTTGTCTCTGCTGCTGCCGATGTTGTCTCTGCTCCTACCGACGTTGTCTCTGCTGCTGCCGATGTTGTTTCTGCTGCTGCCGAGTGTTGAATCGTTGCTAATGCTCTTGTTCGTTCTGCCTTAGGGATGGTGTGCGAGTAACCAGAAGCCTTCGAGACTAAAGTTGGGGTCGAGATCCGGTGGATGTGTCCAGGAGGTGAAGGTGACGATCCCGTCGCTGTTAGCGGTGCCAAGATCTGGGACGAAGTCGAGGACGAAGACGTTATTTTTCAGGACCGCCTTCCCGATGTAGAGACCGCCCTTCCCGTAGTATAACTTGAACTCATGTGTTGTGTTGTCTGCTTCGAGGTGGATGCCTTTCGCCATCAGCTGACTGACGCTCAGTAAGTTGTAGCCAAGTCCCTCTGTAATTAATACTTTTGACATCTTAATATGACGTTTGTCTCTCGTGACCGAAGTTGCACCACGCCTTGTCGTCGTGTGCGCAGGTTCTGGTTGTTGGCGACGGTGATGACGACTTCCCGCTGAAGTTGGTATTCTCGTTGAAAGAACCGACCTGAAGAGCACATGTGTTGTCCGCAGCAACTGTCCAAGAACCAGGTATCCTTCCCAAACGGTTCACTTTGGGCGATGGCTGCGTACGTTGGGTTCGGTTGCAGTGACTCGCGACGTGGAGTCCTTTCGTCGAGTTGTTCTTCTGGTGAGTAGTGGGGCGGCAATTCGGTGATGCAGGAGTCGGTCAATCTTGCCATGCAACTTACGATGTTCCTTGTTCCTTGTGCAGGTTGTCCCGTCGACGTTGTTGACGTTTGCACTTGAGTGGTGGGATTTACTTGCGTTGAGGCGACTTGACTGCTTGAAGGTCGAAGCTACCGCTGCGTTGGTGCTGACTGCTGCCGGTTAGGGCAGTGTGTGCGGGGATGACTTCACGTCTTGCAGAGATGACAAAACGGAGGTACGGGTTGCTGTCCTTGGTACTTGTTTTACCGATGGTTGTTGTTGTAGCGCCGTTGAGTGTGGAAAGCGAACTCAGGCATTGACGTCTTCCTCTTGTGTTTTTCTTCTTGTAGGTCCATGTCTTACTGTTCGGCGTGAATCTCGGCGCAGAGAGATGCTTCAGAAATTTTTCCGTGAGCTCGGAGTATGGCGCGAGTGGAGCGCCAATGAGGACCAAGACTGCCAATGACGACTGTGACGAAGGCGTCTTCTGGTATCGACCCTCCGCATCGAAGCAGTTTGTCGCGCAATTCGCGACAGCGCCTGATATACGCCATCCCTTTTTCGCCTGGTTTCATTTCCACTATTGTCACTTGTGCCATTAACCGACTCTGATTGACGCTGTCTGTTGCCTTGTACAGGTTCTTCAGGTGGTTGTACGCGAGCTCGGCGGAGTTCCCGTATCCTCGGTAAGACCGAATGTTCTGCTGCTGGTTCGGGGTGACGTTGCGTAGTAGGATTGTATACGCCATTATGGACTGATATGTATACTACTGCTTGTCGTATTGCGTCTCGTGTGTTGGGTATGGCAGGGACCCGTCGAAGAAGCCAAGAATCTGCGCGCCTTCCATCATCAGCTCGAATTCGAATGACCAGGTAAAGAAGTCCTTTCCATCAACGGTCTTGACGTCTGCAGTTTTACCATAAACCCCCGGATATAAGACCCTAGGGTCTTATCATAATCGCACCTAAAAAAATGGGGTGGTCTAAATAAGTGGCATATATAATATAAGACTCGGGTCTATACAAATTGACTTTTTAAGATACAAGTTTTTGGGCACAGACAAATAAATGGGAAGTGTTCCATTTTAGCACTCCAAGAAAATACGCGAAACCATCTCTTTGAGGTCTGACACTCGTCAACACGAAATCAAGCTGGGAGGGTTTTCTCATTGGCCAGAATTGGCCACCACATCAAGCATAGAGGCACCGTGTGATGGGCCCAGCGCACTGTGTCGCCTCGGCCTTCACACCCCATGCACGCTGCGAGGGGGCTGCACGGTATTGGTTAGGGGGTACTCTACACCCAGTAGCTGACACGTCCCTGTCTATAGGCTGTACTTCACGTCCTTCTCCTCTTGTTTCTTCTCCCCAGCACGTTTCCTTGCTCGGCTGGCTATCAGAGATGGCGAGCGGAGCCATCATAAAACCTCCTCGAAGCTAGCAGCGTGTCATCTGTAGTTTAGCCGCCATGGTGACATCCCCAGATGCTGAGACGTCGGGTGCTCAACGCCGGCGCCGCCGTGTCCCCAGTACACCTCCTATTGCTAGGCCATCGCCCAGGCCCGTCATGCCAACGCCAAGTGCCTCTACCAGCGGTGCGGCAGATAGTGAGCGCAGCGAGAGCCTACGCCGTCCGCTTCCCCAAGTTAGGGTTCCTGTCTTTCCGCAATCCAGCATGTCAGAATATTATGTTTCTCTAGTCTGCAGTGGGGTACTCTATAGTGAGTACAACCCTTTTAGGGTTTGCTATATGTATCCCAATGTTTGCTAGTGAACCCCTCTCTTCTTCATTCCTCATTCTTTACATGCTATCAGAGCATCTACGCTCCTGGCCTGTGAGCCCACCTAACTGCTTCTGCTGCTACTCTGTGCACTGCACGCCCCGTGGCGTGCCCCTCTCGCGACCCTTAGCGGCCCCGTCGCCACCCCTCGCGGCCCCGTTGCCGCCCTTCCAGGCCCCTCGCGGCCCCTTCGCGGCCCCGTCGCCGCCCCTAGCGGCCCGTCGCCGCCCTTCCAGGCCCCTTGCGGCCCCTTCGCGGCCCCGTCGCCGCCCCTATCGGCCCCGTCGCTGCCTCCAGCGGCCCCGTCGTCGCCCCTTGCGGCCCCGTCGCCGCCCCTAACAGCCCCGTCGCCGCCTCTAGCGGCCCCGTCGCCGCCCCTAACGGCCTCGTCGCCGCCTCCAGCGGCCCCGTCGCCACCCCTTGCGGCCCCGTCGCCGCCCCTTTCGGCCCTGCCTCGACCCTGCCCCGGCCCCGCCCCGGCCATGCTCCGTCGCCAGTCGCGGCGCACCGGGGGCACGTGCACCGCCCCCCCCCCTCTTTTCCCGTCGCCCGTCGCGGCTCCCTCGGGGGCCACCTGGGGGAGGGGGGCGAGCGCCGCCCCTTCTGCCGCCTGTTTTGGCGCCCAGGGAGGCCGCGCGTCGCCCCCCCCCCCCCCCCCCCGTAACCTCCCTACCCGCCGTCCCGCTGGTGATCCCCGATTGATCCTAGGGAAGGGTTACAGGCACGTTGGCCTGGGGGGTTATGGGCGCACTGACCCGCTACTTAACAAGCCCTTTATCCCAATGGTCTAGTGGTTAGGATTCTGACATGGTATCAGAGCGAAGGTCTCGGGTTCGAATCCCGGTGTATGCACTTCGGGCATCCCAGTGCGGGGGGGTGTCAGAGGTCCACTGGTGATCCCCGATTGATCCTAGGGAAGGGTTACATGCACGGTGGCCTGGGGGGTTATGGGCGCCATGACCCGCTACTTAACAAGCCCTTTTATCCCAATGGTCTAGTGGTTGGGATTCTGACACAGCAGACCACAGGGTAAGAAGAAGCGTGTGCAGGACGCAAAGACGCCATGGCACCAAATGACGAAGAGAGCGCGGAAAGCTTACACGGCCAAAGAGAAACCGTACTGGCTCAAGATGATAGATGCGCAGCCGGATCTGAGCGTCCGCAAGCTGGCCAGCCTCGCCAAAGTCCAGCCGAAGCAGATCCGCGACTGGAAGAAATTGAAGGAGCGCCTCGAAATTGCGGCAGGATGTCGTCGTCGTCTCAGTGGTGCTGGACGAAAGCCCAAGTGGCCGATGATGGAGACTGCGGTATACCGCAGGCTCCTTTCCCACCGTGGGAAAGGTCTGCCGGTTTCCGTGGGCCTGCTGCAGAGTTGGGCGACGACCTACATGAAGCACCGCCACCCCCAAGAGAAGTGGCAGTCGTCGCACCGCTGGACAAAGAGATTCCGCATGCGGTGGTCCCTGGCGCAGCGCGTGAAGACGAAGATTGGGCAGAAACTTGCTGCAGGTAAGAAATCCCGTGCACATTCGATGTTCGCTGATGCAAAATTGCAGCTATTGATCCACCATTTACTTGTGCGACGCAGATTGCAAGAAGAAGTGCGAGTCTTTTTGGGAATTCGTGAGGCAGATGCGCGTGCTCAACGCCTACCCCCTCAACTTGATTGTAAACGCGCATCAGACGCCTCTGTTCCTTGAGATGCCTGCTGAGCGCACCCTTGAGATGAAAGGCGCGCGTACTGTGCACGTGCGCACCGCGGGGTACGAGAAGGAGCGCCTCACCGTCATGCTGGCGATGACGGCGGGCGGCATGAAGCTCCCTCCCTATGTTGTCTTCAAGCGGAAGACTCTGCCGAAGATCCCCGTGCCCCGAGGTGAGTTGTGCCCGTGCGGCAACTTTGCTGCTCTTTGCCCTGGAAGAAACCCGCTAATGTGTCTTGTGCTATCGTGCAGGTGTTGTCATCCGCGTCCAGGACAAGGGCTGGATGGACGAGAAACTTGTCCAAGACTGGACAACGCAAGTTCTCGTCCCCTTGCTTAAACCGCTCCGCGAAGAGGGAGGGCAGCGCAAGGAGGCGCTCCTCGTCCTCGAATCCTACCGAGGGCACATCACTGAAGCGGTCGGCCAGACGATGAAGCTGTTCAAGCTCACTCGTGCGGTGATCCCTGGCGGTTGCACCTCGCTGGTGCAACCGCTGGACGTTTCAATAAACCGCAGCTTTAAAGCCGGGGTTCGCCACCGCTACTCCTCGTGGTTCCAACATGAGGGGATTGAGTCCTTTACCCGTGCAAGTGAGCACATGACTGCCTGCGGTTTAATGTGCGCCTAGAATGTGTATTGACTGACCACTGCCCTTATCCGTGCCCTTTCCCGCAGGGAACCTGAAGAAACCCCCCCCTGAAAAAGTTCTCTGCTGGATTGCGGAGGCCTGGGCCGACGTCCCAGAAGAACTGATCAGAAAATCTTTCATCACGTGCGGCATCTCCAATGTCATCGACGGGAGCGAGGACCATCTGATCCACGCTTACCTGCGGGACGCGGCGAAGGTGGAGGTGATGGACGATGTGTGCGAGGAGGAGCTAGACGAGCTCGTCCCCAACCCTTTCTACTCTGACCCTGCTGCCACTGCTGACAGGGACAGCGATGCTGAGCTGGTGGCGGAAGCTGGAGAGGAGGATGCCGAGGAGGAGGAGGAGGAGGAGGAGGAGGAGGAGGAGGAGGAGGAGGAGGAGGAGGAGGAGGAGGAGGAGGAGGAGGAGGAGGAGGAGGAGGAGGAGGAGGAGGAGGAGGAATGGGAGGAGGAGGAGGAGAAGGAGGAGGAGGAGGAGGAGGAGGAGGAGGAGGAGGAGGAGGAGGAGGAGGAGGAGGAGGAGGAGGAGGAGGAGGAGGAGGAGGAGGAGGAGGACAATGGTGGGGTTGCGGAAGAGGTGGGGGCCGGAGGGGGATGGCAGGATGAAGGCGATGAATGGTGGGCTGAAGGGCGATATGATGGGGAGGAGGCGGAGACTTGGGTTGCTGGGCAGGATGAGGATTAGATAGGATAATGTTCCTTCGCATGTGTGTTTGGTTGTTCTGCCTCCTCTATGAACATGGAAAATCACCAAGTAACAGTCCTTAAATCACAAATGAATAGGTCTCTAGTGGTAGGGGGGGGGTCTTATATTGTAAGGTGCCAAATAGGGGGGTATATCTCGACTAGACTCGAATAGAGTACCCCCCCCCGTACTATATACCCAGGGGTCTACAACTGGAGGGGGTCTTATATCCGGGGGTTTACGGTATGACGTGTGCAAACTGCGACTTAACTTGAAGTGCATCTAATGTCTTCTCTTGCTCAGGTGAAGGCTGCTGGCGCGGCATGAAGCTGACGGAACCACGCTGAGGCTCGTACGGGGCGAAGGTAGGTTGTTGCTGCTGATTTCCTCGTGCGTAGGATGAACCGTCGAGGCTCATCGGTGTTGCGTTGTTGTTGTTGCTGTTGTTTGACTGCGCAGGTGCCCCTTGCTGGTGTTGTTTGTAGAAGGACATGAAGGAAAAGAACTTCTCCATCATGTCTGGGTCGAAGCCCGCGGCTTGATTTGCGAGAGTTTCGGCAGACCCAGCTGCCGGTCTTGTTGCTGTGCCTTCCTTTCCTTTGTTTGTAGGCCAGAGGTAGGAGGTGGAGTAGGAGTAGTACCGGGAGAGCCGTTAGAGGAGCTTCTCTCCTTCTGCGTTGCCATGCCTTGTGATGTTGTAGGTGTCTTGATTGTAGTTGAATTTGTCCTGATAGCTCTCATACCATGTTGGGCTGAGAAAAGCCCTTAGGATCTTTGCAGGACTCAATTATGAGTAGGACAATGTAGTAGCGGAAGCGTTTTAATGAAAGGTTTGTGAACCACCTTGCGCTGGTATGTGAGGGCAAAGTAGATTGATTAAAACAAAGAGATACACGCTTTTATAAGAGTACAAGGGAATATGAAGGGTTATAACTAATAACTGTTTTGCTGTTGCTATTGCGGTTCGATACAGTGACGACTCGAGCAACTGCTCAATAGCGAGTCAGTTGTTTGTCCTTGCTGTCGCACTGTACTTGTCAAGTCAAAGGTCGCTGACCTTTGACTTTCGCGTAACTTCCAGCAGTTGTTCAACCTCCGAGGGTTGACTCGCCAATGCTTCGATATGTTTCGCTTCGCTTCTGACTTGGTGTTTCGACACGACAGAGGCGCTAAATCAATTGTTTCCAACAAATGTGCAGGTGTTGGGCGACTGACGTGCACGACCCACCCCCAACCAATTGTCAAATGTAATTCTATGCTTGTAGGCTACAGTGAGTAGCACAATAGGGAGTACAGTTGTTAGGGTTGCATATTTGTACTCTCACACTTTCTAGTTTCGGTCATTCCGTTGCATTCCTATTCTAAGACCAATCACCTGGTTGCACGATTCACGTTAGCCTACCATCTCTTCGGCCATCGTCAGTAGAGTGCCACAATTTTGCAATGTACCGTATCCTAAACCTCTGTACTGCACCCAACCACTCAGCAAATTGATCACAATGACCCAAGAATGTGTCTTGAATTTCCCGCGTCGCGCTCCCAACATTTGGGGATTCATGCCGACATTTTTTACGATTTGGGGTGTCGCATGGTTTTGCGTGGGTGTAGCAAATGATCTTTCGAACTGTTCTGGCATCCCTTCATTGGATGCGACTGTTGTTTGAGGCGTAATTTTGGAGCGAAAAAAGCCTCGCACCAATTTGGAGGTCGCATGAGTACCAAGAACCCAAAGTGGTGTTTTGTGTTGTTCCGGGCATCCGCAATTCGCGCATGCCCGGAACAGTGCTCATGACCAGAAGCAAAGATACGCCCTAAATAGTGCTGATATAACCAAGGATCCAGTGGTCAGGCAGTACGTCAGCTTGACTTTCCCTTTGTCGATTTCATCCTTCACGAAGAAGTAGCGAAGGGCGATATGCTTGGTGCGGTTGACGAAGCCGGGCTTGTTCGTGATCTTTATCGCGCTCTGATTGTCGCAGAGTAACGTGAAGTGCCCGTTCATCGTCACTTTCGCCTCTTGTAGGAGCTCCATCAGGTACAGTCCTTCGCGAACAGCTGCGCTAGCTGCGATGAATTCTGCTTCTGCTGACAAAAGAGCGATGAGTTCCTGCTTCTGAGAGTTCCAGGAGATGAGTCCCGCTGGTTGGAGTTGAAAGATGAATCCTGTGCGGGAGCGTCGGTTGTCAACATCTCCAGCGTGGTCCGCATCTACGTAGCCATGGAGCTGCAGAGTAGCGGTGAGGTTAGCTTCGTAAGTGAGACCGACGTTGGGAGTGGAGATGAAGTACTGTAGTGCTCGGCGTAGATCCAGTAGATTCTCCCCTTCAGGTCGTTTCAGGTACTGTGCGAGCTGGCTTGCAACGTAGGAGAGATCGGGCCGGCACGTGACGGCGGCAAACAGGAGACATCCCAGCTGCTGCTGATAGAGACGATGGTTTTCGGGAGAGAGCGGTGTGGTGTCTGGCTCGTAGTTAGGAGGAGGAGTGCGATAGGGGGTAGTGAGGTTGATTGGTGCGATGGAGAAGCGCTTCGCGAGTGTTTCGGCGTACTTGGCGGCGGAAAGGTGAATGGAGGAGGCGGACTGAGTCACATTGAGGCCGAGAAACTGGGTGACGTTGTGGTTGATTGTCACCTCCAGTTTCTCTTTGATGTCAGCCTCAAACTGGTCCAGAAGCTCCGTGTCGTCGCCGGTGTAGAGGAGGTTGTCGACGTAGGCGATGAGGAGTATGAATTTCCCGCGCGATTCCTGCCTGTACATTCCGAGGTCGTGCGGCAGCTGAGTGAAGCCGAGCTCAAGGAGGACGGAATGGAGGTACTGCTGCCATAGACGAGGCGCCTGCTTGATTCCGTAGAGGGATTTTTGGAGGAGGCACACGTCGCCATCATTTTCTTCGAATGCGTGCGGCTACTCGACTAAAATGATGGCATCGACGAGAGCGTAGAGGAAGGTGCTGCCGACGTCGATTTGCCGGAGCGGTTGCTGTTTGACGGCAGCGATGCAGATGAGAATGCGTACCGAGGTGTGGCGGCCGACTGGAGCGTAGGTGAGCGTGAAGTCCACCAGGTGTGTTTGCTCAAATCCCTGCACTACCCAACGCGCCTTGTACTTGTCTACCGAGCCATCTACGAGATTTTTGATGCGGAAAACCCATTTTCCGCTGAGAATTTTTCTCCCTTTTGCCGATGACCGAGGGACTAGCTTCCAGGTGCCACGTTTCTTCAGTGACGTGATTTCTGTGGAAACAAAGAACGAGAATGAATGACTATGAAGTGAAGTGAATACAAATAGGAAACCCTAATGTGTTGTACCCCCTATGGGATACCCCACTATAGCCTACACAAACAAGTAAGCTATATGTTCTGACACACCCCCATAGGCAAAGTGGGGGAGAACAAGGGGTCACAAGACCAGTCAAGCAAAGCAAAGCAAAGCTCAGGGTGGATCACAAAGTCACCACGCATTCCGAGCACAAGTTCAAAGGCCACAAGGCCAGTTCACATGCAAGATCATATATAGAGATATACAAGAGCAAGAGTATATATATGCGAAGGTACAAGCAAGGTCAAGAGGAGAGCAAGTGAGGCAAGACAGGCACAAGACCCAACTGCGTGCAGCAACGCTGATGATCACAAGGCGCAAGTGCCTTGGTGAAGACATCAGCAGTGTTGGCCTCAGAGGCCACGTACGCAAGTCGCAGCTGTCCACACTGCTGTAGCTCACGAGCAAGAAAGTAGCGAAGAGCAATGTGCTTCGTTCTGTGCTCCAGTCGCTGCTCTCGACACAAGGCCAGCATGGCCTTGTTGTCTACGTACAGGACTGGAGGAGAACGAGGCTGCTCTCCAAGGTCGGTCAGCAGGTAGGTGAGCCAGCGTAACTCCTGTGCAGCCATAGCCCCAGCGTAGATCTCAGCCTCACAACTGGAGCCGAGAACAGAAGACGAGCGGGTAGCCCGCCACGAGACAGAGCCGGAACCAAGGCTGAAGGTGTAACCCTGTGACGACCGCTGCGTAGCCTGGTCGTCAGCCCAAGAAGCGTCTGCGTGCCCAGTGAGGACCACTGGACTGCGCCCTCCAAGCACTAGCCCCATGCCCGACGTACTGCACAAGTAGCGCAACACCCTCTTCGCTGCAGCCATGTGCTCTGGTCGGTGTCTCCCAGGAGCAACAAAGCGTGCGAGAATGCTAAGAGGGTATGCGAGGTCAGGTCGTGTGCAGGTCATCAGGTACATGAGGCAGCCAACAAGCTCTGCAAACGGGCCACTCGACTCTACGGACTCATCCGAAGGCAGAGCTGAGAGCGAGTGGCGAGTAGGCAGAGGAGTGGCCTGAGGCGAGGAGTACGTGAAGCCGAAGCGCTGAAGGACCTGCTGCACCATGTGTGACTGAGTCAGGGTAATGGTGCGGCGTGCTCTGTCCCGGGTGATCTGCAAGCCAAGGTAGCTGCGCAGTTCACCCAGGTCAGTGCACGTGTGTCTCTTCAGCAGTTCGGACTTCACGTAGGCGAGTCCAGCAGTGTCAGCTGTGGCAAAGACCAAGTCGTCGACGTACACGAGGATGTAGAACGGCGGCAGAGAGGTGCCGGTGCGCAGAAACAGCGACGGGTCTGCAGTGGGGTCAGCCAGGGACACCGCAACCGGCCGACTCAGCGGCGTGAGAGTGGTGCGGTCCCTAAAGAAGGAGCGAGACGCTCCAGAGTCAAGGGTGAAGGTGTGAGAGGCCAAAGCCGACACAGTACCTGAGAGGGCAGACTCACCAGCACCTGAGAGCACAGACGCACTGGCACCTAGAGCAGCAGCCTCACTAGTACCTGACGCGGCAGTACCAATGCCCGGGTCGGGCGGGAAACACCGGTAACAGTCATCCTCATCACTACCAATCGCAGCATACATAGCAGAGAGAATATCATCAAAATCAAGATCATAAATAGCTACACCAGCCCTAGACAGCTCTCCCCAGCGGGGGATCTCAGCTGCCTCCGGAAACTGCTGACGCCAGGCGTC